TAGGTCAAAACATTTGCTAATTTTTTCACTTCATGAAATTAGGTCTTAGAGAAATTCCTTGTTAATTTTCTGAGACAGGGTTTATCTATGTAGCACTGGCTATCTTGCAACTTCCTCTGTAGACCAGACTGGCCTTGAACTCAGAGATCCAACTTTCTCTGTCTCTTGACTGCTGGGATTAAATATATGCGCCACCTCTACCTGGTTAAATTCTTGGTTACTATTGTGTGTGTAATATGGAGGCACAGTGGGAATTTTTAGCTATAATTCTTGTATATGTCTATCTAATTATAAATATAGTAATTGGGTAGATGCATACATTGGGACTAATCTGTGCCTTTTCTTTCGATACTGTTAATCTTGATTATATAAAGACAAAATCAAGTCTATGCTCAAGGCATGATGTCCACAAAATCCATTATTCATAAACTTGAGATAAGGGAAATACATAGAAATAATTAAATTCTTTACTCAATTACTTTTATCCTCTCCTGGTATATATATATGTTCATTTATGTTGTGGATTGTCACCTGGTAGCCAAAAGATACTGAGAGAAGGGAACAACTGATCTCATTCTTATGTTAACTTTCAGGTCGAAGAACAAATGAGAATTGTTGAAGAACAAAGAAAGATTCATGAGGAAAGGATGAAACTAGAACAAGAACACCAACACCAACAAAAAGAAAAACAAAAAGTTATCCTGGGCAAGGGAAAGTCCAGGCCAAACCTGTCCTTCTCATTAAAAACCAAGGATTGAATGGCAGACTCTGAACTTTTTACAAAGAAACATGAAACAACCTAGTATTGTAGCCTCATGTTGAAGTGGGTTGTTTTTTTGTTTTTGTTTGTTTGTTTGTTTTAATTTGGAATGTCTGGAAAGTTAGCTTGCTCTAATAGGGGCTGTGCTCTGCAATCCCTTTATTTTTCCCACTTGTTGTCCATTACGTCAGATCCTTATCAGATCATAGCTGTCTTCTGGAAGTGTTGTATTTTTCAACTGTTGGGATTCTGTAATGGTTGATGGCCTGCTGAAGCTCAGGTCACTTGGTGAATAGCTTGGTCTGGTAAGGTGTTCACTGACCACTGACTTTGGGGTTATACTCTGTTTACTACGTCATCATGGTGGTTTTGCTGATGTTCAGGTTTTGATACATCTATAAAAAAGGAAAATTTGTTAATTGCATTGAAAAATTCCCAGGGTTTTGCTGGATATTTGTGGTGTTGTTACAGCAGTGTCCTTGTGATACTGTATCTCTTGGTGTTCCTGATAAGAGGTAAGGATAACAGTTGGCCACCTGCTACAGAAGTACCCACCGTGCAGTATGGTCTCTCTCAGACTCTTGTTTCTCTCATTGACAAAATCAAACCAGCCTTCCCATCTGTAAATAAATGATTTTGCTGAGTAAATGAAAGTCTTAAATTCATATGTTTAAGCAATTTTTTTAAGTTCTGGTAAGTCTAAAGGGTGGTTTACTTTAGAAGCCTTAGAACTATACTAGATTCCCTATGATTTATATTTTTCACAGGGTTTCTATGTATATTAAATAAACTTGTGAATTAGTAGTACTGGATATTTTTACAGACACTACTTTATGCTGAAAAGAGTTAAAACATCAAGTATTATCTTTGAAAAATCCTAAACCTGTGTCTCTGTTATAGAAAATAAGTATTATTGCCACAAATTATACTTAACAAACACTAGAAAATATGTTTTTAAAATTTATGGACAAGTAAGTCACTTTCAGAGTGGGTGGACCGTCAGAAACTACTTGACTTTGTATGTTCAATAGGGCTAAAATAATCTTTAACCTTGCATGTTTATTTGTGGGATAAACATAT